ACCTTGAAACATACCCGGTACAAATCAAGGGGGGTACAAATCAAGGGGGGTACCTTATACGGCGTTTTACGGTAGTTGAATTATTGCGATTTGCGAAATTTGAAGATCATTAAAAAAAAGTAATCGCTGATTTCCGATTTCTTCAGCATTTTTTTTGACTTTTATACTTGACAAAATTTGCGCATTTATTATTTGTAAAACTTTGATTGAATATTTTAATTAGCAACTCCTATTTCTGCAAATATATTACAAAATGATGAGTATGCAACTTTTATTTATAAAATTTTTACAAAAAAATGAAGAAATCGGAAATCAGTAATCGGAAATCAGTGATTACTTTTTTTTTAATTTCACATAATTTTGCAAACCGCAATAATCGATTAGGTGCAACTTGTTGACTTGTTGATTAATCGATTAATCGCAACCAACTGGAAAATAATTGACCAACTAATCGATTGAAAAAATTTTGCCGATTTGTAACACTAATTGGTCGTTCATTCGATCTTTTTTTTTAGAATAGAATATCTGATATAGTATTCCACTGTCTATGCATTCGATTTTTTATCAAAATTGATCTCGTTATAGTCTACTTTCGAATAAACTACAGTCAATATTGGTCTGTCGCTATGACTTATTGACTAATTATAAGTTATCGTTATGACTTATAAAATTTACTGTATATTACATTTATTATGATCATCTTTGATCATATAAAGTTTGATATGATCTAATAAAATCTTTAACGCAAGTCTCGTGATCATAATACGTTACTGAGCAACTATCCTAATTTCTAATATTTGTCAAGAACATGAAACAATTAATGTAGATTTGGTAATATTCTACTTGAAAACGTTAAGAAAAAAAATATGTACGTATCGATTTTTTTTAATTTTACGTGTCAGATTAGGGATGGGACGCTGCGCAGGTGGAATATTTCGGAGCTTCGGAATATTACGGAATTTTGCAATTCTGGCCCGCATTAGCAGAAAATTACTATAATGCGGCCTGTACAGATGCGCAACCTGCGCCATAGTCTGCTGACATAACTGATAAGCTGACATAAGCAATAAATATATATAATTTTTATCCTTATTTGTTAAGCTGGCAGGTGATCCAATTTTTAAAAATATAAATTCTCAAACGACAGCAACTTATTTCTGTATTTTGACAGATAAAATTTTTTTTTAGATTTAGTAATACCCAATTTTGAGATTTAGTAAAAAAATTATTAAAATGCCACAACTTTCGGCCAAGAGGAAGTTTTTTGATGGTATGTGTTTTATTTATACGTTTTTTTCAGCATAAGTCAGTTTAATAGGGTTGATCTACAATCTTTGATTTGATTTCAATATTTTCGTAGAAGAAGAATATACACCTGGTTCAAAAGTTAAAAAACCAAAAAAACAGGTAAAACCACCTGTTACAGACAATGTATCTGATGACGACTCAAGTGGATTTCAAGGCTTAAGTACGTTTAAAAAGCCGATTTAGTATTTGAGTTTGAAAAATATTAACAAAAAAAAAAAAATCAGTACCGAAGAATGCCGTCCTTAATATCAGTAAACTACCGTACAAAACGTCTTCAAATGGTATCATTGATTATTCATCAATAAAATTAAAGAATCATCATGCCAGCCGGCCGCTCTGGATAAATCCTGGTAATGGCCATATAATCTTGGAAGCATTCTCGCCTTTTGCTGAAAAGGCGCAAGATTTTTTAATAACTATAAGCGAACCAGTCAGTAGGTGAGTAAATCAGATTATTTCAAGTAACTAAAGAAAAATATATTCTGATCATCATTGAAAATTTTATAGACCTTCTCTTATACATGAATACAAAATGACACCATATTCACTTTATGCTGCTGTTTCCGTGGGTTTAGAAACAGAAGCTATAATTGACGTTTTAAAGATTCTTTCAAAGGCATGTCTATAATGCAGAATTATTCTGTTTTATTAATTTCAGGAAAAATTCAGTTATTAAAAGTAACTATCTTTAGACTGAAATTCCTGATTCTGTCATTGAAATGATACGTGAATGTACGATATCATATGGCAAGGTAAAGCTTCTATTGAAGCAAAATCGCTACTTCGTGGAATCATCGCATCCCGAAGTTTTACAAATGCTTCTGCGAGATCCTGCCATTGCCGAGGCTAGAATAAATAATGACGAATCTACTCAAGACACTTTTATAACAAATAAAGCTCCAACTGGTAAAGATTTGGTAATTCCGGGTAAAAATGAGCCTACTGCAAATGCTGATAATAAACCTAAAGAAAATAATGCTCAAGATGATGAGTTATTATTTAATACGGTTGTTGCAATTGACAAAGGTAAATATACATAAATATAATTTAACAATTTCTACATATATATTGATCTCAAATATTTTTTCAGAGGATGAAGAAGATGAGGAAGATGAAGTTCATTCATTTGAAATTCGTTCGGAAAAATTTGAGGTAAATAGGCTTACAATTGTTTTATCTTAGTTATTTTAGGAAGCAAATAATGAAATGTATTTATATTCGATCATAATTTTAGAATGTAAAGAAAAGATGTAACGAACTTAACTATCCAATGTTGGAAGAATATGATTTTCGAAATGATGCAACCCTGGCTCCACTTGAAATTGATCTGAAGCCTATTACAGTCATTCGTCCATATCAAGAAAAATGTTTGAGCAAGATGTTTGGAAATGGGTACGTTTGTATTCTCTTACATGCATTGGTCTGCAATGGTTTGAGAAAATTTAGAATTAAATGAGAAATCACGAATTTATAGATTGGAAGTGTTGTTTTGGAACTCACAATATTATCAAAATATTTTTTAAATATTATAAATTCTAGACGTGCTAGGTCTGGTATCATCGTCTTGCCATGCGGTGCTGGTAAAACTCTTGTAGGCATAACAGCCGCATGTACTATTAAAAAGAGCTGCCTCGTTCTTTGCACCTCGGCGTTAGTATTTATATATGTGTGATATTATCTGTTTTGGTGAAGGAATGTTTATATTCAAATATGAACTTTTTTCAGAGTTTCAGTAATGCAGTGGAAACAGCAATTCTTACAGTGGTCAAATATTAAAGAAAGCCAAATTTCTGTTTTCACTTCAGATCAGAAAGAAAAAGTAAGAATCTTAATTATTAATATTAATAGTAATATTAATGTTAGGCTTTGTATCTTTTTATGAAATTATATTCTTCAAACTTAATATATTGGTTAATAAAGTTTATAGGACAATCTGGTATCGTGATTTCCACATACAGTATGGTAGCTAATACACGGACCAGGTCTTACGAAGCGTCAAAAATGATGGATTTTATAACTGGGCGTGAATGGGGCTTTATATTATTAGATGAAGTTCATGTCGTACCTGCAAACATGTTTCGTAGAGTCGTAACCACTATTGCAGCTCACACAAAGCTTGGACTAACTGCAACCTTAGTACGTGAAGATGATAAGATTCAGGACTTGAACTTTCTGATTGGTCCCAAATTATATGAAGCCAATTGGATGGATTTGGCATCTAAAGGACACATAGCTAATGTGCAATGTGCAGAAGTTTGGTGTGACATGACACCAGAATTCTACGCTGAATACCTTAAAGCATCTTCAAGAAAACGCATGTTATTATATGCAATGAATCCAAATAAACTCCAAGCTTGCCAATTCTTAATTCAGTATCACGAAGAAAGAGGTGACAAAGTTATTGTATTTTCGGATAATGTATATGCTTTAGAGGTAAATTGTCTTTTGATAGATTTGTTTAAACTACATTTGAAATTGTTTGTTTATTCTGTTGCCTTTTCTTTTTTTAGAAATATGCTAGATTGCTTGGAGTTCCATTCATTCACGGGAAAACAAAACCTCCAGAGAGAATGTATATTCTTTCAAAATTTCAACATGATTCTGCAACCAATACAATTTTCTTATCTAAGGTATATTAAATTTACTACAAATTCTTATAAAAATGTAATGGCATAAACACAGTCTATGAATTATGAATTATTAGGTTGGTGATACCTCTATAGATTTGCCTGAAGCAACATGTTTAATTCAGATTTCATCGCATTACGGATCTAGACGCCAAGAAGCACAACGCTTAGGTATTTTTTTTTTCATAAATTATTATCATATTGATAATACTAATTGATATATTAATTAATAACATTCTATAGGACGTATTCTAAGAGCAAAACGACGTAATGATGAAGGGTTTAATGCTTTTTTCTATTCATTAGTATCAAGGGATACACAAGAGATGTTTTATTCTACTAAACGGCAACAATTTCTGATTGACCAAGGATATGCATTTAAAGTAATCACCAAGCTTGAGGGAATGGAGAAGGCACCAAATTTAGTATATAGAAATCATAATGAACAAATGAAACTGTTAGGGGAGGTACTAGTTGCTAACGATAATGAAGCCGATCTTGATAACGATATAGCAGCTAATGCTGATGATTTGCCGGGAACTGTTACAAGCCGTAACTTCAATTCTCAAGCGAAGGGAATAGTTCGCCGTTCCGTCGGCAATATGAAAAGTTTGTCTGGTGCTGATCATATGGCATATTTTGAAGGTACCAGCGGCCATAGTAAACCCGGTGGCTCAGTACCAAAGAAAAAAGCTCCTGCCAAAGAACATCATCCATTATTTAAGAGGCAGTGGATGAAAAAGTAGATAAAACAAAAAAAAGTAGAGTTTAGAACCGGGTTATAGTAAACCGGTTCAACCGAGTCAATAATTTACAACTCGGGTCAAAACGGTTGAATATGTAACCTCTAACAATCTGTTACTAATACACAAAAAAACATAACAAAATTTGAATAAACACCCTTTTTCTCTAATTTATCTAAATGTTCAATCCCATTAATCTGAATTTTAAAAAAAACGTTACAAACTTTGGAGGCTATGCGGACTATCTATTGTTGCGAAAATTTTGTTAAAAATTTTCCTTTGT